TGCCCACACCTACACTGCTGACGTGATCGCCTTAAGAGGACCAGGATCTATACTTTCAAAAAAAGTCAAGAGATCGTAAGTTCATCAGCCAATCATTGACGGCCTTTCAAGCCACTCTTTTAAAAACAGTTAAGAGATCGTAAGTTCATCAGCCAATCATTGACGGCCTTTCAAGCAAAATCCACCAATCATAGACAAGAAAATAGAGCGTAAGTACTTACGTTCACTTAGCGAATTTTGAAAGTATGGTCCCAGGACTAAGCAGCGATTTGTTACCGAAACACGGAATGCTGACTCGATAAATATTAGCACTTTCCAGTATGACTTTATGCCAACAATTATTTCAATACTAGGAACGAATGCATGTCAAGCACACATAGTCTAGGGTGCTATGCCGAAGTTTGGATTACGCTCGCAGAGTAAAATAGTTTGTCCAATGGAATTGTCCATTGATCATAATTTATCAATATTCGAATTTAAATTTGACAAAAAATTATAGAAAATTTATTCGCTTATTAATTAAAGGTAAGACATAAACAGCAAGTCCGGCTCCGTATAACATTCTAAATCTAATTAAAGAGAATAGAAGATAAATGTGAAATTATAAAAAATCATTGTCATTGTGCGTCCATCAGTGAGAGGTTTTCACGCGATTACGTAAGTTAGATCCTCCTCCAACACAGACAAAAGGGGGGGACCCGCAGAGACAAGAGGGGGGGGGGGCTGTGACCCACAGAGACATGGGGGTGGCCACTCTCGCCATAGCCTACACCTAACCAAGAGTTGAGGTTCCATAAAGAGCCATCAACACCAACAGACAATGCACTTTCATTCACTCACATTAGCCAAGTTTCTACGCATACGTATTTCTATTAAATAAATCAATAAATTCACAAATAGCTTAGCTGGCATACTAAGAACCATATCAAGCTTGCACAGGTAAACTCTGGCTTTAGAGCTTAGCAACTTAGAAGAAGTGTGGAAAGTTGGGCTTTAACATCACCATTTAGATTCAAGTAATACTACGGATAACTACAAGTAACCATTACAAAAATTGCAAGGGAATGTCTTGATGCGAAGATGGTCCATTTTTTAAATATTTTAATTTAAAGCAGGATCGAAAATTTCTTTTGGTTAACGCCATGTACTGATCAGTTTTCATCTTCCGTCAAGTGATTATAAACGTTTTTAGGCGTAAGCTCACCATACGACCTAAGATAAATTAAAAACAGCATCATAATGCATGCGTCAATAAATAGACACATCAGCCCACGCGGTGGCTGATGGTCAGCAGCTGCGCCTTCCCAGGCAGTGCTTCAGGCAAAACCCTTTCACATTTTCAACCACTAAAAAGCGTGAGTTCTTCAACCTCGTGGAAAAAATTTATCCGGATTAAAAATGAATGAAGCTTAAAGCGGATAGCAAGTTCATACGGCGATGGCAATGAGTTGGTAGATGTGGCACAGCACATCCGGCAGATGTGGCACAGCAGCAGTGGCGGCATGTGTGTCAAGGTCGTGCGCCACGTGGTGCAGCCGCGCGTTCACGCGCCGATTTATGCAATCCCGCCAAAACTACAAGCCGGGCTTTCCAACGCCGCGGCAATTTTTGCAAGCTTCGGACAAAAAGCTCCACAAGGTTGGCGAGTCTTCAAAAAGCAGGAACAATTGGGGAAGTAATTTTTCAAGATATTGCAAATAAATCTGAGCAAACTTACCGAAAAAATTCGTACAATAATTACAAAAATTCACCTCGGAGAGAGATGCGTTCATTTACGTCTATAGGTTGTTATGCAGAGGCGACAGCATGTATGAATACTCTTTTACGGTCATAATTTGAAATAGATATAATAAACATTAATTAATTTGAAGTGATATGTAGGCAATCTATACAGGCTGCAAAGCGATGTGAGGTAAAGGAAAACAGTTCTCGGTAAAATTCTCGGGAAATTTGGCACGTCCTGTTAAGAACAGCAAGAATAAAAGGAAAAAAATTATGCGTGTTGTGCATTACTAAAATACTACTGAACATTATTACCAAAATTAAATAATATGAAATTAAAATATACAAGTTTCCTTATTCCAGACATCAACATGGCAAAAATGCCTCAAATGGCCGGGCATTTTCGGTTAATCTCCAACACCTAAATTCAACACCCACTAGCTGACCAGCCCTTGCATTCTGCTCTGTGCGGTCTCATGAGAACCTTGCTTAACCCACTTAGTCAGGAACTCAAGCCAGAATTACTCATTTTTTACAGCCATATTCGTCGATTTGAGCTTTTAACCAGTTGAGTTAGCCAGCTAAAATATTTGCGAGCCTAAGGTAATTCCGAAAGATTAAATAGTTAGATTAGATTAAAAATTAGATTAGATTAAAGAATAGAATTGGTAACAAATGTTGCAACTTTATTGGATATTTTTGAATTGCAGCCGTTCTCAAAATTTCTGTGAGCTAATTAAATCGTTTTCTTTGGGCACCTTCCAGCTATTCCGCCAGTTCAGAAATGACACACAATAATGCCCACAAGGCTAACCGAACCCTACAGCAACAACCTAACTACTTGTGCAGCACTCACCAGTCACCGCGCCACGACGCTTGTCTTGCCACGCACCACACAGCAACCATGATACCACATAGCGAGTGATGTTCAGCACATCTTGGGTGGATGTTCATCACATCTTGGGTGGATGTTCATCACATCTTGGGTGGATGTTTATCACATCTTGGGTGGATGTTCATCGAATCTTGGTGGATGTTCATCACATCTTGGGTGGATGTTTATCACATCTTGGGTGGATGTTCATCGAATCTTGGGTGGATGTTCATCGAATCTTGGGTGGATGTTCATCGAATCTTGGGTGGATGTTCATCAAATCTTGGGTGGATGTTCATCACATCTTGGGTGGATGTTCATCAAATCTTGGGTGGATGTTCATCAAATCTTGGGTGGATGTTCATCAAATCTTGGGTGGATGTTCATCAAATCTCGGGTGGATGTTCATCAAATTTTGAGAGGATGTTGGTGCATGAATGTCGATGAATCGGCTGCCAAGTGACTTCCAATTAATTGTGAGAGTTCATGAGATTGTGAAAGACTGCGCTGAGTTTGGGCCTGATGAAGCTGTTACACGTCATGCGGTCACAGCAAGCGCTGCCCGTGGTGCTCTTTTGCAGCTAGAATTTAAGACCAGAAGATGACGGTGAGCTATTGTATTGTAAAATGTAAGTAAAGAGACAATAAACCTTGTCTCACTGGTTATAAACAAAGCGCTCTTTCGAAAAATTTAGGGGTGATTTAGTAAACGGTATTTATACCTAGAGAAGCGCTGATTGAAATCCAGATGACAAATATGGCGATTCAGTGGAACATCGCGGTTAAACCATCACGTGACGAATCTTCATATAACCAATGTCCTTCGTTTCAAGATGAAGTAGCAAGGCCGCCTCTTAATTTTCATCACGTCAAATAGGAAGCAAAATTATCGTCAACGATCCACACTGAGATCACAGCTGCCAACCCGCCATGATGCTGTAGAAGATGCCCCTACCGTACCCACACGAGGGGCACGGCAGGAGCACCAGCGAGTGATGCGCCCCTCACCGCGTCGCGCGCCGCACTGCCCTTCCAGCCGCCCTGGAACCTCAACGCGGAAGAAGCGTCCAGTGCTCCACTACACTTGACCTTGGGAGGCGATGCAGCCTCGGCGCCACGCGGAAACGCTTCTCACATTATGCCGATACACGCAATCGATCCTACGTCCCTTGCCGGCTACACGGAAGTGACACCATAAATAACTGACCCTTCACCTTTCATAACTAACTCGAGCTCGGAGGTATTAGAGCAGAGCTCTATATGGTGACAAATAGAAAAAAAATAGAAACTAAAGAATTTTAGTTCTCAACAAAAACTTAACTTTAAAACAAATAGCTTCAATCTGTTTCAATATTTTAGAAAAGACGATTTTAAATTGTCTCTTGAATCACAGACCACGAAACGAAAGTTGAGACAAATCAACATTCGTTAATTCACAGCCGACCTTGAATGAGTCATGCAAGGATACCAATCACCAGGTAATACCACAACATTAATGTTAATTTTGAAAGTGTTTTTTCAACATTGAGTAGTAAAGCAACACGGACATGACATACAACGCTATAATGTGCAGGCAAGCTACACTACATTAAGGCTCTAAAAACGACAAATACGCAGGGAAGTCTTGGCTTGCAAGACGCTGATGTGTCAATCCTAACCTGTTCACGAAACATCATATGAAATCATCGAAGAGCAGGAGCATATGAGTAAATAAGATTCAGAATGAAAGGGAGAGTGGAAATGAACTAGGAAATTCTAGTCCTCGGACTCATACTTTTCTAGTAGTTTTTACTAATGATAGTTAATCTTTGGGAAGTCTAGGGCAAACAGGGTTGACATTATGGCCTTCTTCCATGATTTGGTTTTTCCAAATTGCGATCCGGGCCAATTCCATGATTTAGTTTTTCCAATTGCGTTGGCCGGCAAAAATTTTTGATTGCGGTACGTCCTTACTATTTTACAGAGTACAAAAAAAAATGAAAATCGAATTTCTGCACCGCAACCTCCAAATTTACTAGTAAACATTGATTTTTTTGCGGACTAGGCCCTTTTTTGCCCCATTAGGCAAGTCTGTTGACAAACTCAGCCATCGTATAGGTACACTACGGAGGATTGTAAATTCTATCCTATAGTGAGCGCAACAGCCGATTATACTTTCATGCATTTGAAAAAATGTCCTCATTTAGCATACATTTGCAGTATTAAAATAATCAACCACATCGAGACCACGGACTTTTCATTTCAGTCATTCACATCAAGAAATCTAGGAGAAATAAAAACACAATTAAACATCACTTGCACCAATAAAATATGCACATCTTTTGTACCATTATAACTATTCACAAAAGATCGTTAGTTCAAGTGTTCAACACATTCAACATAAGCAAATTGTAAACGTACTCACCCGCTGCTCGGCTGTCTCGGGGTCAGCCCAGGCCGGGAGGTGGTCGGCCGCCTCCACCAGCAGAAACTCGCCGTCCGTGTCACAGACTCTGCGGGAGTGTGGTGATACGTACTAGTACACTGCAGTGATACATACTAGTAAACTGCAGTGATACATACTAGTACACTGCAGTGATACATACTAGTGAACTGCAGTGATACATACTAGTATACTGCAGTGATACATACTAGTCCACTGCAATAATACATACTGTACACTGCGATAATGCATACTAGTACACTGCAATAATACATACTGGTACACTGCGATAATATATACTTGTACAGTGCGATAATTCAAACTATTACATTGCAATAATGCAGTGTAATAGTTATACTATTTAATAACTAGTACACTTAAATAATGCACACAAGATTTGGAAGAGAACTTGGGGAATTGAGACTAAAAACCGAGGAAATCAGTAGAGTTTTAAATTCAGGCTCAAAAATGTAAGTGCCTAAACGAGTATAACGTGTCCCTCTAAGACACACTTCTAATATTCAATTGAAGAAAGTTACATAATATAATAGATGCAAGGATAGTTTATGTTACGCTCGAGTACATTAATTAACATTTCTGAGACCTAACAGATTGCTTGATCGCTCTGTATCCTTCAAGAAAATGTTCTTCGGTTAGTTAGTTGGTTTAGTGACCACATGTTTACTAGCGCTTCAGCTATTCAGCTATCTCGCACCGAAAGTCAAGATGAACATCACCAAAGAGGCGGAAGGTCTCAATTTTCAAAAGTTTCTCAAATCAAAAATTGTTCATCACCCACAATTGGCGGAAGGTCTCAGATGTCCAGCCCGCTGAAGCTGGCTCGAAGGAAGCAGCGTTAGTATCTCAAAGAGACGAAGTGACAAGGAGGGACAGGTGAAAAGCAACAGAAACGAAGACACTCGAACAAGCTGTCGCTTACACTGGACGTCGGTCGCCCGCATGAGAAAGACAGAGAATGGAAATGAAAGGAAATCTACCTACATAATAACCTAATGTAAATAATCCTACCTACATAACAACTTAATGTAAGGAATCCTACCAACATAATAACTTAACCCCACAACTGAGACCTGCAGTCAGACACCGCGAGCTCAGCGGTGGGGCGCTCAGGAACAATCCCCCTAGGAGCGCGAGATCTCATAGGACTTAAATGTATTAATTTGTGACTTCTGATTTGTGATTCTAGATTCTACGAACTGACGATGGAGCTGGTCTCCGAAACGTTTTCTATATGAATTTTTGTGGACTTTTCTTTGCTTTTAAATTCTTACTCATAGGACTTCTGACGCGCACAGACACACGTCAGAAGGACCCCCTGAGGGGGAAAATGTTCTTCGTCAAAGGATTACTAATTAAATTGTTGTATCTGCATCTTTCATGCAAGCAACACGATTATTTTCCTCATTTGCTATAATCTGATTATAGAATCTAGTTACACGACATCAACGAAATTATTATTTATCTAACGTATAAAAACTTGTATAAGGCACGGCCAGCACTTATTACCGCGACGACGCGCAATAATTTGAATTTTACTTCATAAATTGTACAATTTAACACGTTGACTCGAAGTGGTACATATGCGTACCACAAAATGTATTTCTCCAGGACGTAGTAGTACATAATTCAGGTTGCCTAAAACCGGCCAAATCCGAGAATAAAAAAGGCCAAAAAAGGCCCATAACTCATAATATACTAGTTTATTTGTAGATTCCGCTATAAAAATTCCATTTATTTTCTTTTTGCAGTATTTAAAATTTAATTAGGAAGTACCCCTATTATAAATTTTAGCCGGCCAACTCAATTGAGAAAAACTAAATCACGAAATTTGTCCGGAAAAAATTACCGTCTGGCAACCCTGTTTAAAAACAGTAGAAAAAATGAGATAATAGTACAAGATGAAGCAATTGGAGTCAAAGTGTTAAAAGACCTCAGACCCACGTCTATTTAGTGTTTACAGATGAAGATCACACGAATAAAACGGTCAAACACACGTCTTATCATATATTCAGTATATAGCTGAATAGCAATAAGAAAAATAATTCAATTGAGCTTAGGAACTTGGTTCTTTTTGGACTGGAGTGGAGGCGTTTATCCTAAATGTTTTTAATTACAAAAGAAGGGAATCTAGCCTCCAAGCAAGCTTCATCGATCGAAAGTATGTATTAAAAAAATTATGTATGTAAATTCAATTATTGCGCGATTGTATAATGCTTGCCACGAAAATTTCGGAATAGTGAATTCGATGCAAGTTCATCTTACTTCTAAGTTAACATCAAGAAGATAAGTACTTAGTATAGTTTCGGTGTCTTTCCTCGACCAGAGTTTATTCGACAGTATAATGTCATTATCAATCATACTACGAATTTTCAATGTGTTTCCGTAAACCCTGTTTTATATACGAAACTTTGGATGAAGTGCGAGTTCAAAGGAATACTTCCAAAACTTACATCATATCTACTGCATCATTAGCTTCATGCGGTAGTAACGTCATCGCAACACAATACTTCGAAAGACGATAATCCACGATAAATTAACGATGGTGTCAATTTAGCATATCGATATAAAATAAAAAAAAAACAAGGCAAATTGCCAAAAAGTTCAGCATTTCTTATTAGTGAAATCGTTTCGGAGTCCAGCTCTATCGCCAGTTCAAAACCTAGAACCTGTGTTCTATACGTTATGAACTAACGATGGAGCTGGACCCCGAAACGTTTTCTCTTATAAGAAATGATGAACTTTTTGGCGTTTTTCTTTGCTTTTAAAATCGAGTGATAATTATGTAGGTACGACAGCTTCAGTTTCAATTTGAAACAAGAACTCGACTAATTCGTAACATTGAACAATTCATTACATGGATAATTTGAATTTTTTGAAGAATCGTAATTCATGGCGGAAGTTCATAATGGGAACGCAGTATAGCGAATGTCACAAACTTGCAACAATAGAACAGCAACAAGCATTGTAACAATGGCTTATGCCCTCAGCTTCCGAGAATAAGTCGTAACACCCTTGATTAGCAGCACTCAGAAGCATAATATTTTTATACGTGTAAGCAGGATGAAGTTAAGACTTTTGAAATTAATTCTATGGGCGTGGTGAACAAAGCGATTTCTCAAATAACTAACTATGAAAAGAGCGACTCACTTCCCGGCCGGCAACAATAAAAAATAAATTGAAACACATTCAAAAAGGAACACCTCCATTGAAACAAAAAATTAGTCGAGTCTTACGAGAAAAAAAAATCTAAATGCATTTACGAAATGTTGTACAATCAATCACATACATAAGCTCTTAGTGCGAATGAACTAAAAATGACGATACTTAAAATGATTTCAAAATAATAATCCATTGAACAATAGAAAATCAAAATTTTTGCACCAGATACTTCAGGCGATGCTGTAAACTTAACACCCAACTTATTCGTATCTTCATACTAATTGTTGAAGCCTATAAGGTTCTGATTAACTGTTAAAATAGTAAACATTAATTTCAATTCGCCTAACGAGTGAACTGTGTTTGTAGGAAAAAAAGGAAAACAATCGTATGGTGGAAATGATGTATTGAAACAACTAGCACAAGAAATGTTTCTGAATGCCGGCTCTACCATAAGTTTTAATGAGAGGTTACATAAAATAACACGTTACAACTTTAAAATAAGAAAGTCATCACAGTAAGCGAAACAAAAATTAGCAGAACATTTTTTCGGTACGTCACGAAGAATTAATGAAGCCAACGAACACATCGACTTTCTTCCATTCATGACTAGCGTTACAATTCACAAGATAAAACGTACAACACTTACGACAAGATGCACAACATGAACATCCATATATTTCCAGTTAAATATGAAATAATACATAGACGGTACAATACACGCTTGCACAAAGAGATCAAAACTGAACACAAGAAGCAAAATTGCCACACAACAGTAACGTTCACAGGTGGTGGGAGGGCGTTATTTGTAAAAAAAAAATTCAAGTCCTACTGGGCAAACTGAAACAGTTTCTATATTTTATGCACAGACGTAATTCTGGTCATGATTCAGGCCTTTTGAGGAACTTAAACGTCACACGCAGGACGTCCACAGCAGTGAATTGAGTGCCAAGGTTTAGAAACAACGCAGCCTTTGAGCGGAAATGCCGGCCATGAACTAATCATTGACACGATTTATTTTTATCTTAATAACGCATTGATAGAACTATGTGGACACGAATAATAATCTAAAGCTTACATATGAAACCAGAAACCAAAAATTGATTGCACTCATGTGTTACAATGCTGAGTAGAAGTGACATATTTTATTTGATTTTCCAATACAATAAGACAATCAACAATCAAACAAATTTTAACGGGTCGTAGTGTTTAGAGAATTTGACATCAATAAAATAACCGTCGCGAATATTTTCCTGTTAATTAAATAGATTTAAAAAAAGATAGGTAAGAACTTATTTAGTTTCTTATGTAACGTTAGGTAATTATAAATAGAAAATATTAATCGGCTCTTTATCCTTTCAATCTTGTGCAGCAGTTATATGAAAATTACAATGAAATTTTTTCGTCCATTAGCCAAATATAACAGGATTATCATCGCTGAACCAGACAAGATTTTTTAGAGTCGGACTCCTCACTGATAAGAAAGCCGCTCACGTCTGGACATCAAGCAGATTATATTCAAACCTCGTTGAGAAGCCCTCATTACAGAAATTTTAATCGTTCCTCATACACAGAAATTAAGGGTAAAATTCAGGGAAGCGCCAAAAATGTGGCGCTTAGATGTTCGGCGCCCTCCTTACAGTGAAGATTCTTGATAATTTAAAATAATCATAATCTTCCAATATTCCAGGTGATGCTCAGCCATCCTTGCTCTGGCCCTGGCCACTCTTTCTCTCCAGCTTGTATTGAAGGCAGGGTACTCGAGATGCGCCAGGGCACAGGGCTTCTTGTAGTTAAGCACCTGTTGAAGGAAAAATAAACATGTTTGTCATTCAACTATACCACCAAAAAAAAAAAAACGATCAGAATGTGAATCCATGCGTGCAAATGGTAAATTATGTTTAGATTTAGTTTCAGTTTAATATTGACCTTGACTCTACTTCACACTCATAGGAAGCTGCATGGGCACAACTATACCGACTCAGTGAGATCACATTGGTGTTGCCGTATTAAGACAATATCATACGGTTGACAACTCTACTTACTCGCCCCCCACCACACGGTCAACGTCATTCCAATCCAAGGACTTAATTCGCAGGTTTTTGTTCAACCGCTTTCATATTAAAATCTTCAGCAGACATTTATCCGGTTCAGACAGTAAAAGAACAAATCATATTCAGACCTAACTAATTGCATCAATTATGAACCAGAAAAGATATGAACTAAATTAAATTCTGAGCGATGAAAGCAAGAGCCAATAACGATATCGTAAACAATTCTTCAGAAAAAAACACTCATCATTAGAAAATAAAAATTTGGTTTGAATGTGAGACTCTTGTTAAGACTAGGACGAGCATGCCTGCTTACCTCATGTTCACTTTTTAGCGCCCTGCTGCTTGCAGCGGTCACAGTTGCAGTGTCGGCTGTGATCTTCACCCATTATGTCGGAGATGTCACCGATTGAGTAACTCAATTTATGATAATTATTGCTTTAGAAAGCAATTGGTAATCTGCGCAAAAAATCTAGTGCATTGATGGAATTTGATCGCGGACAGTGATGATGACACAATTACTACCGGACGTGTCTTGCTCAACCAACAACCTACAGCGCTAAGGCCATCAACAGTCTCGTACTGTTGATAATGAACTGTTCCACAGGAAGTAGGATGCACTAAAACGTGTATCACATGATGATGAGGTAACTACGATTAGTATTCAATGTAGGTACACATTTACTAAGACATCCTACACTTAAGGAATCAAATACTAAAAAATGCACAGGCTAATATGACTAATGCCCCAATAATTCATTACCACAGTAAGAACTGTTAACAACTTATTTGCCTCCCCCCATCCCTACCAAAAAAGTACTAGCCCGATGTTGATGAGAAACAGTGATATTATTTTCTAACAATTATTACAGACTTATTACAAAGAAAGTTCATAATAGGCAAGAGTTCATTAGACTGAACTGTTCTGATGCGGCTAGGTATTTTAGACTGTAAATTATTAAATTCTCATTGAGCTTAGCTCTTCAGAATCATACCGATATATGACGAATTAATATTCGATATATGAAGAATTCGAGTTGAAACAAAAAATATTTTCCATTTTCATGGAAGAAAATCAAGTGCTTCACTACAAAAAGAAGTCATGCTCACTGAAAAAAATCTAAATAAAAAACAACGAAATGAACGAATCTCAACACTGAAATTACTTGAATAAATCCATACAGATACTACCCAAATTTCTAACTAAATACACGCGAAGTGAAGTACGGTAATAATGCAATCTATTTAAATAAATCCATACAGATAAGTTTTCCAACTAAATACACGTAAGCTAAGTGAAGTAATAATGCAATCTATTTAAATAAATCCATACAGATAAGTTTTCCAACTAAATACACGTAAGCTAAGTGAAGTAATAATGCAATCTATTTAAACAAATCCATACAGATAAGTTTTCTAACTAAATACACGTAAGCTAAGTGAAGTAATAATGCAATCTATTTAAACAAATCCATACAGATAAGTTTTCCAACTAAATACACGTAAGCTACGTGAAGTAATAATGCAATGCAGTACACACGTAAGCTAAGTGAAGTATTAATGCAATGTGCAGTACAGCAGCCTAGGACGCACGCAAGCGTCTGACGCCCAGTGGCAGGATGCTAGCACCTCAGAGCCACACTACGATGTGTGGAGCAGGCGACTCAGCCAAGCTCTACTCTCGGTACACACCTAACCCTACCAATATATATAGCCTTAGAGCTCTTCCTCCTCGGGGGTCTTACGTACGCGTGCCGTCGGATGAATTCCTTGCTTTGCAACAAGCTCAATCAATTTATTCATGATAGCAGTTCGAGGAAGAAACAACTGGCACTTGACGCCCGCTCGCACAGATGCTGTTTCAGGAGCAACCACTAATGCGTCCGCACTACAAGGTTCTTGCTCTTTTTTCAAGTGCGAGCTTGAACTGGGAGCCAATGCGAGGTTGCCTTCCGACATCTCAGACACGCCCATTATCAAGTTCAGAGGGTAACCCGCCATGACCTACAAGTACGCATTCAGCTCACCTCCTTCCGCCATGAATTACACTGAAAAATATATTTCAACAAATTGTTTTACTGGAGATGTGTTAAATAATTAGACTAATTCGAATCCACAGATTATTTTTAACCATTTGGCTGAATTACGTCATGCTTTTTAGTTACGGAATACTCTCATAAAATCACTGAACAACATACTCTAAAAACATTTTTTTACTGGAGATATGTAAAGTACCGGTAGTTAAGTAATTCGGGTCTTGTGATACAAAAAATCAAAATCGTTTCGCTTAATTATGCAAGGATTTTCAATTACAGAAATACTTACATAATTTAGAAGTCATAATGGACACTGCCATAAGTGTCCATTATGTCCATAACAGAAGTCATGAGTCCTGGTGGACACAACATGAAGCATTTCGCCTCTGTCGACCCAGCTAGATTTTCCTTCCATCCCTCCACATAAAGCTCGGTTTGATAACAATTTCGTCCGGATAATGGATCTCAATGGACTTGGGCTATTATACCTGAAGGAGAAGTTTGGCAACACCTTGTAAAAGGGAAAAATGGAGGCTGGTGTCATTTTTGAACCACAAATCCGACACTTACTGAATAGTGAGACTTTTTTAAAAACTCTAAGCCCCAGAGAGTTGGCAGCGAGGAGGAGCTTCAAAGCTGCGACAGACAAGTTCCTATAGGGGACGATACGCAGACATTGAAGGAACAGTACAACCGATGCAAGAGTCATTCAGAACATTTGACTCCAGTATATCCCTGAAAATATAATTCCAACACGAGCACCCGAACTTCTTCCCTGACAACTTGGGAACTGCCACGGACGAGCACGACAAGCGATTACGCCAAGAGATTTCACTCATGGGGATGCGTTATAACGAAGGCGACAAAACCCGAACACCATGGGCGACTTCTGTTGGTTCCAGTATCGTGCAACGCTAATAGCACACAGCAGCACAAACGTAGAGCCAAATGCCTCAAACATTTATAAGTTTTCTATAATTTCTGTTATTACCACGTTTTTCTTAGCTTCGCTTCGTGTCTGTCTGTCATCAAAAATTCAAACCTTAATTTAGAGCACTTCTGAAGATCATAGAAACTTGAAATTTGGCATACATGCTTATGCTGCCTAACAATTCAATATTTGATCATCAGAAGTAATAATTAAAAAAAAAATCAATGAAAAAACAATGAAATACAACAAATAAAAAAAATTTAAAAACCACGTTTTCTTAACGGATAAGAAATAAAAACATTTACTCTCACATAACATTACATAACATTTTACATAACTTTAATGTTATGTAAGAGTTAATGTTTTTCTTTTTTGTCCGTTAAGAAAACGTGATTTTAAAAGTTTTTTTTATTTTTCGAAGTATTCATGGTAAAATAAGTTACTTTTTTCGACTATCATATGAAATACTGAAAATCAGGAACTGAAAATCCTAATGTGATACAGCAAAACGGTTATGATTTTTTAAATCAGCGTAGCAAAATTAGTCGATATATGTTAATAACTTCAAAATCTCCTGTAAAAAATTTTTTGGTGCAGTGTTATTTGTACCACCACCTCGCGCGAGGGAACATCCAAAATAGTAACGAAAACTGGTGTGAATACCATTTTTAATGAAGCCATTTGTGGCCTTCATTAAAGAATAATTGATCGTTTACATGAAATTTGCCTAATAACAGAATTTGTGGCAGTCAATGAATACAAAGAACGAAATCAGAATTATATTATTAATCCCATAATATCCAAGGACAAATCGAAGAAGCAGTGCAGTCACAGAAGGCTATTTCATGAAGTCTACAGTCGCTACAGGAATTTTTGTTTCGCCCACAAGTTCCTTACATTTCCTGCCATCCTAACTGACACTGAAATCAATATTTCAAGCCAACCGACAGCAAAGATTAAAACAATTACTGATGCAAATGACTTGCCATAAACTGTAATGACATGCACAAACTTTTAACCGTATAATCAGAAAAAGTCAAATAATGAATAAACTATAATTTTCGAAATAAACTCTTATTTCGCAGCCATTTTCGGTTAAAGCAACTCCGGCGCAGTGAAAAAAGCTTATCAGTAGGCGCTCGGTTGCAGATCTGACGTCGAGTACCATACGTCACGCTTATCAGTATTTCCGTGAGCTTGCACTGCTGAAATTCCTCCCCAGCTATTTGAATTCGGACTTTCCACGTCCGTTAATTTCAAGTCACCGCAGAATCTTTTCAGGAGCAAGCCAAGTGCATCCAAGGGCTAACGGGTAGAAAAAAAAGAGCGCGTTTGAATAACAGCATAACTTGGAACGAGTAGAAGACGAATCAAATTAATTACGTACCGCTGATAAAAAATAGATTAAATTTAAAAGATGATTTCGGGATTAATAAACGCAGAAACACGTATGTGAATGAGCATTTTACAGCATTTGCCAGCAGTGACTGAGCGGCGAATCGCGATGCGAAAAAAAAATAATTCTTTTATTAGCTTCATTTAAGCACCCTATACCGTCGTGTCGTTCATCTTCTCCCCTTTTGAAAGATTAAGACGTAGCAACTGATACTATGATCAACAGACTCAAAGCGAGGTGAATGACCGTTGTGTGATACCAGCAACGCCACTATTATGATGCACCAGCAATATAATTTAGAGCACAAAGAAGCAGCACTTCCCACGGAAGCTTGCAATGCGAACACTTGATGAGTCATCGGAATTGTGTGAAAAAATACGTTTTAGCAGTGAAACCTTTTCCCTGCATCAGCTCCACCTTTTGACTCCTTTATCAAAGGTGCATCATGGGAAGCCAAACACCCTCGTCCGTACACGTCAAAGTGCAGCTTGACTCCAACATCCGTCAAACATCCCAAGCCAAAACATGCTAATTGTGTTGCTCAGGAAATATCGTTTTCTGGCCTTTGACCATCGCAATGTAGGAAGCTTTTTTCCTAAATTACTTAGCGATAATTATGTTCATATTATGATGATATTATTACACGAATTACATAATTTACACACGAATTATGTAGACATTATGATCATGTATTATCTTGTTAAGTTATATATTTTAGTAAATACGTGAATTGAGAGCACGAAAAATCAAAACACGTCAATTTTAAAACTACGATCACACGAGTAGGGTAACTGCGCTTCGTTCAACTAAAATAACAAGAAATAAGTCTTTAAAAAATTTATTTACAAACTTGAAATATAGTAAATTCTAACTTCTAAGTAAATTCTTCTAAGCACTACGGCCAAGTCGTGACAAACGCATAAGATTTTTGAAACCTAGGTAAAGAAATACATGAGCGAGTATAGGAATAAATATCCAGTCATTATGATTAGCTGCTAAGCAGTATGCACAGGTTTAGATGTTTTCTCGCATGAATATAATCTGAGCCCTGCGGCACTCAAGGTCAAGCCATGAAATGAGAACTTAAAACTTCCCCCAGCACTCAACGTCAGGTTGTATCAACGTTGATACAGCGAACTTCGCGACGTTGAAATAACGCTAAATATTAGTCCAGAATGGAAAGTGAATCAGCGTAAATTTTTTCAACGTCGTACATTTCGACGTTGTTTCAACGTTAAAAAAGCGCTGAATTCTGACGTTAACAGGGTATTTATATAAGGTTTTGTCAGGTTAACATGTTCTATCATGAATGTCACAGTATTCACGCGATTTCAACGTTTACGACGTTGAAATGTACGACATTCAAAAAATGACGTTGATTCGCTTTACATTCCGGACTGATATTCAACGTTAGTTCAACGTCGCGAAGTTCGTTGTTTCAACGTTGATTTAACCTGATATTACCGGCAGGGTCTATTCTTAGTTTCATTTGGTTTATTATGTTCATTTCATTTAAATGTCACTTCATTTGCAAACACTTACCAGACTAAAAAATTCTGCTGATGAAAGGAGAAGTTAATATTGTTTTTGGCGCCACGGCTATTGGCGCCAGCGATTTTCAGGGTCAAATAAACAAAAACTCCAATGCTATGCAAAAAACGAGGATATCACTTGGAACGTCCATGATAAATTAATAGTTTGATCATTTCATTTTTTCTTTGAATTCCCCGCTTTTGATTGTTTAGAAATACTACGGCGTACATAAGTCATAATAATTCGTTTGAAAGCGTAACAATTTCAAGCGAAGTGTTCCGTGATAACCAATATATCAATTAAGGTCAATTTCACAACTGTTGTAGGCTGATTTTGGAGCACTTGCTATGAAAAACTATGTATCGTGCACATAATTTACTACACTAGCGAAAATATAGTATATTTAAATGTTACTGTTGAGTAACATTTCTTGAGTGCACATGTTTCACACAAATGCAAATGTCGCACAAAAATTTATAGTCAACATTTATCGAATTTCTGATTTTTTTCGGTCTTTGATCAAAAATCCTCGTCGTATAGGGCATTCTGATGTAGGTATTAATTAAAAATCAAAGCATCAAAAGAAGAAGAATATCTAGTACTTGAAAAGCATCGTTAACTAACAGCACGGAGGATAAATTTAATTAAAATTAGTTTACGCAATGGAGGGGTAGTCGAGGCGGTCGTAGCGTATGTATTCGTCGGCAGTTAATTATTACTTGAATAATTATTAGATTGATGGTAATTGATTACATAATTACTCTATTAAAATAATTAAACAAAAATATACACGGTAGATTTGAGTGGCACAGAAATCACGCGGAGGAATTATTTTGATTTTTATCAATAGACCCTGAGGTCAATGAAAAAAATACAGATACAACAGAAGTCATCAGGGAAAAGCCNGCAGAGGCGAGGCAATATATAGCGGAGCGCAACTTAGCTCTATCTAAGTGCTCAGTTCCAGGCTATTATGAGCCAGCTTCCGCAGAAGTATAATGAAACTATATTAGGCACCTTGGGTAAGTGTTGTACTCGATTACTCATATAATTAATCGAACAAGACTTTAATCAACATAATATTTTATGTTTATTCAGAATTGGAGTACATTAATACTTAGTCTATTTGTTTTATTTTTAATTCGAATCTGAATTTCTTCATGAGAAAGCTAATAAAAGTTATGCGGATTTAAATAAACATTAATAAAAATTTAACATTTCCCATTTACCCAATGACTATTTATCGAGTGCACACGATAGATATATATCAGGAAATTTCTGAAGAATTCAGTCGATATAGAACTCAATATAACAAATAAGTAATTAGATCGCAGCCACTAATCTATGAAACCTACTTTGCACGCAATTCGAGACCTGTAAGAACTGCGAGGTGAGGTACACAAAAAAAGTACCGAGCAAACTAAGGACCAGGCTGCTGAAAAATGGTTGTGTCACTTCAACACTTGCACCCGAGCTGCACGCTGCGCGAATAACTCACAAGTCACGGCATCCCAGTGGACACTTAAGTATAAGAGGGTTACAGCCTACAGCTTACTTTAATTCAGTAATTAATCAATACAATTTACCTAAACTACAGCCCGTTTAGGAGCGCGCGAAATTAAGAAGAAGCGATAATTCGTTTTCTTCAGGTCAGCTAAGTCAATATAGCTGTCATCCAGGCTCAATAGAAAGAACTTGCCTCAAGAGTAAACGCAACACCTAGATATCTCATTGCAAAATTTGTAACGATTGATTTATTTATTAGTTGCGTCAGGTTTTTTAGGGACATGTGTTAAGATTTTCGCAGGAAGCCAAACGTTCAAGGCTATGAATGCCTCGTTTAGGTTGATTAATATGGAGCATTATTCCTTAACTTCAAAAATGGTTTTACATTATTCTGACGATGCACATATTGTTTCATGTAATCAGACTGAATAATCACCGCCGTGATCGGTTCATCGAGCAGCTATTGAGCTCAGAAGAGTGTAGAGAATTATGAAGACAGTCGCACAGCAACGCCTGATGACGCAACAGGAGGAGAGGGGCGGATGAATACATCAGAAGCAGCGAGGGTGTCTCTTGTCACGGTCAAGTTCAGTGAGGCAGTGGGTGAAGGGCACGCATCCGTCTACACAGTGGGTGAAGGGCACGCAATAAGTCAGGCCAAGGCCCACAGCTATCAAGGTGGTCCACCAACAAGCTGCTCGAGCTTCCTTCCTTCCTCGATAACTCGGAAGCCGCGAACGTCACACACACAAAAAAACAGGGTAGAGAATAGGATCTATTTCTAGACGGAGAAAATGATCACTATGAATGTACGAGCGCTATTTTTCCCCTTCCAGGATATAATTGAAATTTCAATGAAGTAGAAAAGTTTGCAAGTAAAATTGTTCTGTTGCATGGACTTGAGATCTCCGGAATAGGACTTGATTAGATTCGCAATAACTCGCAATTTTAGAATGAAAATGAAAAAAAGTGTAGGCCTTGTGTCATGACCATCTGGGTAAGAAATCTCATTAAACACAATCGGACATCAAATAAAGCCTAGAACTGAAAAAAAAACGAGTACAATCTGAAACTCTGCCTAAACCTTGCTAGTCGAGCAAGAGAACTGAAGGAACTGCAATCTTACAAACATGCCTGTAATATCGAGCACTTTCATCACAATGGTGACCGTCCTAGAGTCAGATCGAGATGTTGTAACCGGCGCCGTGGAAAGCGCGCGTGTCAGATGTACCCACTTAGTGTCTCTGGCTACCGTATTGTGCGTGATTTATGAAAGTTACATAAATATCAGTAAATACACGGTATATCGCACAAAGTATTGACGGTTTTACAGCTTTGTTGTGACATAATGTAAAATGAAAGAGTCGAAAAACAAATCAAAATTTGTAAATAAGCGAACGAAGTTTAGTGATTGTCAATTAATGGATGTAGGTAAGTAGGGATGTAAATTACGGAGTAAATTAGGGTGTACATTAAGGACGTTAATTTGGGAGCACGAGAAAGGCAGCCATTTGCCGTCGCTTAAAATATTCTCAATAGGCCTCATTGTTGTGACCTTCATTCTTTATTCATCAGAGTTCATGATATATTAGTTCTTCATTAGGACATCAAATCATCATAGATTGTCTGTTTATGACATGATGTAAATCAGTTCCTTAACACTGGAATGATGGGATTAGATAACTTACTTGATGTCTGAATTAAAGTAACGTAAATGAACAAAAAAAAAAAGAAAACATTAGCGTTGCGGCGAAAGTCACGGTTATAAAGTTAGGATGCGACAAGGCAGATGTAAAGTTTTAGTTATCATATTATCAACAATGTTTCATGCATGAATAGATTTCCTGAACAGAAATTATTTAAAAAAAAAAAAAAAAAAACGCTGTTATGCATACTCTCGGCAAATATTTTTCGCATTGCTTGTTTTCAATCAAGTGTCACCTTTATATGCACCAACATTAACCAATCATAGGATTGAAAAGTATGTCAGAAAAAGCCGCAGTATTTAATGGATTACCTCATATTGAGAATAAAAAACTATTTCGAGATAGTTCGTCGATCCCGCCTCCACGCTACGTGGGGTCTTCGTACATGAACCCTGGATCACTTTATTTGCATCAATTTATTTTCGATAAACTGATCCATTTTTAGAAGAAATTCGTTCTAATTGTCATTTCACAAGTTCACGAGTGCATTTACACTCGCAAGAATGCAATCTTAAATCAGATCGAATCCAATCAATATCGGACAGCATATTTTTGCAATAAAATGTAGAAAATGATTGTCAACATCTCATAATTGGCCTGTGCTATGGAATAGTCGATACGCCTTGTTCTTCGATGCTGCCAAATAGATTAGATGATTAGTCTCATTTTGATTAATTCTAATTATTATACGACATATCACATACGCGTGCCTCTCTTGAGAACTATACAAACATATTACAAAATATATAAAAGTTCAGCTACGCGTAACGAGATGTTCGCATTAAAAATCCTGTCATAAAAATGCCTCCGTCATTATATGAGAAATCCGATGAGTTAAAATCCGTAGACCTTTTCCGCGGGTAGTAGCCAGGCAATGCGATGCCAATACATATTTCATAAGGAATATTTTCTCTGTTCCGTTTCCTCATCCCTCCCGTTATTCTTCTACCTAGTCATGTAAGCAACATAGCTGAGCAGTAAAATTTCTGAAAGGCACCAAGGCGGCAATATTTGTCTCAGAATCAAATCTTGCTTTAGTGCTTCAATTCCTTGTACAATATCGTGATCATTAACACTGTACCTACTTCAAATACATGCTCCAAACATGTAAAATATTCAACGGGTTCATGAAGGTTTCCAAATTCCTTTTACAAGTATGAATGGTTACGGATATTCATGTGAAGAACAGAAAAATATGAATAAATATTTCTACATGTCAATTTTAAACGAGGAGAGAGACTCAGCAAAAAGTGCTGGCATTTCTTGGCAGAAAAAGTCAAGACTCCTAAGAATTGAAAAATTAAATATTAAACAAAGAGTTTAGCAAGAGATCAGGCTAAATAAAGAAAGTAACTGGAGAACCGAAATGTACAAACCTGATGACGAGTTGAGGGAATTCAGATGAGAGCTTGCGTAAGAGGAACATGATGAACCACTCGTCCTCTATGTAGTCCCCCACACAGCTCTCCCCGTACAGGTGACTGCTCACTGCACCTGGTAGAGAAGAGTAAGAGGAACATGATGAACCACTCGTCCTCTATGTAGTCCCCCACACAGCTCTCCCCGTACAGGTGACTGCTCACGCCACCTGGTAGAGAAGAGTAAGAGGAACATGATGAACCACTCGTCCTCTATGTAGTCCCCCACACAGCTCTCCCCGTACAAGTGACTGCTCATTTCTCCTGGTAGAGAAGAGCAAGAGGAACATAATGAACCACTCGTCCTCTATGTAGTCCCCCACACAGCTCTCCCCGTACAGGTGACTGCCCACTCCACCTGGTAGAGAAGAGTGACACAACTCAATGGGAATGTGGCAGCTTTGACTGCAGGGAAGCTGCAACGAACCAACAAATTTACACTAGAGCTTTAGTCCTTGAAGTTCTTTAAAAAGTATATAAATGAATCTTAAAAAGTTTACATAACAAGAACAAAATCAGTTGTTAGGAAGTTTGAAACTGAAATAGCTTGAAGCAAAATTATCAGTCTTGGGCATGGCTAAGGCAAATGGGGAAGATTTGCAGCAACTGCTCATATGATACTGGTATGTAAAATTTGGTGAATAGCCAAACATGTTGAATTTTTTATTCTGATTCTGCACATTTAACACAGACTTCCCATCATAAAAGCAAAAAATATATGTAACTGAACAAATATTCTACCTACACTTGTGTCAAAAACTATTGGTACGGTACAGTTACCTACTGTATAAAATCTAGGATGTAAATTAATTAGCTCACCTTCTAGGCCATGAGACACATCTTCCTGCACAACTCTGAGATTGAAGGGGTCTTGGTTCCATATGTAGCTCTCAGTGTGAGGGTGTAGAGCAGTCAAGTAAACTTGACAGAAAGATTTGAGTTCAGCTGCGTCTGTGACAACAGTGCCATCTGTCTGCAGCGGGAGCAGCCAGTATTGAATGATGTCGTTACAGCTGGCCATTTTGAGGAGCTTGCAGTTTTAAATCACTATGGAAATGCTGTAAAAACACACTTTTGCACCTGAACAAATTTCAGTTTTCTGAGAAAATTGCTACTTGAAACACTGCACAAGGTTCTTCAAAATCAAACAATGGTTCACTTCAATCAGTTTCAATACACTACATTATTTTTCAAATTTTCTTGTGAAAAGCAATTCAACATATTTTAATGAGCACTCACAAGTGTTCTTCTATCACACAAAAAGGCTACGACACTAAACTACCTATCAAAATTAACTTAAGACACAAATGCAATTGGCACCAATTTGGGACTGAAACACATGACTAGCACCAGCTATAAAATATTGGCACACAAGGAATGAGTATCTGAAACAAACATGGTCTATGAAACATTAACTAATTATGATCAGAGGTCAGCAGATAATGTAGGGAAGAATGTACCTATTATCATAATCAAGATGCCCCTTATTTAAGAAAAATAGAAGTTTCAAAAAACTGTTTAACTGGCACTTAAGTCTCTAGTCAGAACATTTATTTCATTTCAATTTTTCAATTGGCTTTAAGGAATAATGAAATCAAGTTATCAAACTCAATGAGAGAGGCTGCTTTAAACCAATGAAAAACCAATGCTGCTGCACCTTTGTGAAGAATTAAGTCTTGCCATAAAATTCATGGCCAAGTGAATGTAAACTAATAGAAGGTTACTAATTTGCCATTCATGAGAATGGCAAAATTCAACAAATGCATTCAACTCAAGTAATTGCAATAATTTTTTTCACCAACACAAGATGGTGCATATGAAAAGACCTCCCCATGATGGTAGAGGTTGAAATTGGGCAACCACTAAATATTTGCATATTTGCTCTCATATTGTTAAAATTACTATATTTATGAAAAAAAAAGTGTTATTCCTAGCAAAAGCTTTTTAGCAGCCAATCTCATTCAGTTAGACTTGAGATTTAAAAATTGAATGCTATATTCAAGTAAACTGTAAAAAGAGTACTATAAATTATTGATCAGTACCATCCAATGGGGTAATAAGTGATGGGTGGGGTAAATTGGGACACTCATCCCACATCTCACAGAAATGTTGTAGCAGCAAAATTAATCAAAATATTGCAAAACGAATTTTTTGTTTATAACTTCTTACCATTCAATATTACATAAACAAGTTTGGGCTTATTTTAGAGGCCTTTGTGAGGGCTGTTGTATGACAACTCCAAAAAAATTCCATGTGAACTTTGTAAGGTATACCAGACACAAAATAAAAGCCTCCTGAATTACCCCTGGGAGTGGGGTAATAAGGGACACTTGAAATAAAACTTAATTTAAAACATTTGAAACAAACTGAGGGTACCGGTACTCATCTACCGGTACCGTCAAACAGGGTAATGAGGGATGGGCGATGTAATAAGGGACAGTCCAATATTTCGTAGAAATGCTGTAGCAGCTAAACTAATTAAAATATTGCAAGACTAAAAATAGTGGCATAAAGTTTAATATTGTTCCATCTATATAGCATAAAGCAAGTTAAGAAATCATACATTTACTACCTCTAAAAAATCACTAAAAAAAGTGTGAAAAGTGAGATTTTTGAAAAGTACCTCTGCAAGGTCTGTAGCAAAAAAAATATATTTGCTGTGTCAAAAAATTTTACTTGCATAAAAGTTGCACACGGGTGTTGGCTTAAAAACATGATTGGCAGAGTTTGCATACCGTCAAACGGAGTAAAAAGGAACGGTTTTGAGCGTTTTTTGTTAATAAATTCTTACAATGAAACATTTCATATACAAGTTTGAGCTCATTTTAAAGGTCTTTGCAAGGGCTATCATATGGCATCTCCTAAAAAATTCCATATGCTATTTGTAAGGTGCTAGATGCAATATAAAAGGCTCCTGAATTAATCTGGAAATGGGGTAAAAAGGGACACTTGAAATAAAACTCAATTATAAACATTTGAAGCATGCAGTGTGTACTCATCTATTACTAACAGTACTCTGAAGTCCTCCTCTTCCTTTGTAGATGATTTAAATGTAGAATAAACGAAATTTTCTGTAATTTTTACTTGGTTTTTCTTCATTGATATAATATTACCTTATCCATACATTACCGGTACCGTATTATTAATGTGATATTAGAGGTATCCATGGACATGCCATTGAGCATTGACAACGACCTTGTCCACTGCAAGCTTCATATCAGCAGCCATGTAGCATTTCTTCTTTATCTGTAAGCTTACAGGATGGTTTGTAATTTTGCACAATTTTAATTGAGTCAAGTGATTTCACTATAACAAAAAAGATTGTAATAAACATACCTACCTGAAACAGGAAGGAATATTTTAGTGACAACCATCATATTTTTTGGAGAAATAAATCATAGTTTAAGTTACTTACTTTTATTTCTTTGTTGCCCAGTGCTCAATTCTATTTGTGACATTCTATGCACAATTTTGTGATGACTGATGCAGTAATTTTTTATAAAGTGAAATTTTTCACTGAGCGAGGTAAATGTAATAAAAATTTTTTGTTGTTAATTGATTTTTTTCATTAACTGGAGCCTTTGCTAACCAAGGTTCTATGGTAAATGCAATTTTAAGGGTGTCCCTTATTACCCTGGGGGGTTGTCCCTTACTACTCTGTTTTGCCAAAATGGCTACCATTTTCCTTGGAATGAGATATGCAAATTCTGTCAATCATGTTTTTAAGCCAACACCAGTGTGCAACTTTTATGTAAGATTTTTCAATACGTCAGATATTTTTTCTGCTACAGACCTTAGCAGAGGTACTTTTCCCAAATCTCACTTTTCACTTTTTTTCAGGGATTTTTTAGAGGTAATAAATGTAGGATTTCTCAACTTGCTTTATGCTGCATAGATAGTAAAAATGTTGAACTTTATGCCACTATTTTTAATTTTGCACAATTTTGATTAGTTTAGCCGCTACAACATTTCTACAAAATGTTGGAGGACTCTCCCTTTTTACCCCGCCCATCCCTTTTTACCCCCTTTGATGGTATTAAGAGGGCCGTTCATGGACACTCCAACTCCAAGCTCGGCACACTGGGCAAGCTGAGGGTAAATTTCAGCGGCAGTGTCTGGCTGTGTAGTGACGTGGCCGAGGGTGCACGAGAATAGTGAGGTATGAACTGCACTAATAATTGTGCAGGGATTTTTTAGTTACGTCGAGACATACATTTGTTAACTAATGTGAACTACCTAATTTATAATTTGGCATAATTATCATATTATATTATATAAATAATATATTATATTATATACCTAATTATTATATTATAATTATAAATTTTAACTAATTTATAATTTGAAATATTGAGTTCCCTGAAGTCGGAGTTCCCTGAGACCAGGAGATATTTGTAAAATCTGCACTCACGTGTAAGTTAGGCGGTCACCAGCCCTTGGTCTCGTTATCACTTCAGCCACATATTTGTGGCTAACACACCCCAGGCCTCAAGGATATTGTTTGAGGCAAAGGGCGGCTTTAGGTGGCCGGTGAATTGCCAGCGGGCAGCCGCAGCTAACCTGCTCTGGCCGACCGCTGGCCACCCACGGTCCGGGAAGGAGCTGAAAGGGCACTTGACAGCGCCGAGAGAGAGATTTATGAGCTTGTGGTTCCCTCAGAAACTACTACTGGGCATGTTTTGACTTCAACAATTTAGGATACAAACTTTATTTGAACGTGCAGTCTCATGTAATGCTAATGTAGCAGTTGCGCAAATATAGATGCAAATTTTTTTACAATGGTAATCCGTACCACGGTACTTCGCATCATTATGGTTTTCACTCCTGTTATTTGCTTTAAAATTAAGTATTTATTTTTGCCTTTTTATTATCATATACCGGTAAATCATATTATTTACACTCACAGTAATAATAATTTAAATCAGTAATTCAGTATGATAATAATTCAGTGGGCTGATATTAATATTACAGATTATTAAGCAATGTGCAATGTGTTGTTACATGCTAATTTCTAGACTTTAATAAAAAATGTCTACAGAAATAGAATATCAATTTAAATGCATGTCTTAACCATATTTGATGAACTTCTGATAAAAATTTACACATTTACATGAATGTTCTAATTACTGCACAGATCATGTACGTATAAATTTAAAATGCTATATTCCAGCTCATTTAATTTGATGATTAATTTATTAACCAGACCAAAGAGCAGGGAAAGAAGAGTGCATGTTTACCTTGAAGAGAATATTTATTGCCTGCAGGAGAGCATGACAACCAAAGGTCTGGTTGTGCTTTAATCTACGGAAGTTTCACCTACCTTTTGGCTTCAAGTGCTTATATCTTATACTAGAATAATAATTCGGAAATGTTTGGGGTAGCAATAAATGAAGAAAAAATAGTTAAACAGACATACGTATATCAAGAAAATGCGGGAAAAGTCACACACTTTACGAAAAGCGGGGTGCAAATATTCATCCTCTTTGATAACAGTTGAAATAAAAAGTTTACATACCGTCAACCGGGGCTACTCGGGACGGGTGGGGCTAGGTACTCGGGACAGTCCTCCGACACGGCATAAAACTGTTATAGTAGCAAAACTAATTGGAATATTGCAAAACTAAATATAGTGGCGTAAACGTCAACATTTTTCCTATCTATGTAGTACCTATAAAGGAAGTTGAAAAATACTACATTTACTAGTTTCGAAAAATTCCTGAAAAAAATGGTGAAAAATGGTATTTTGAAAAGTTACTTCTGCTAAGGTCTGTAGCCAAAAAAAATATTTGCCGTATTAAAAAATTTTACTTACATAAAAGATGCACCCAGGTGTCGGCTTGAAAAAGTAATTGACAGAATTGTCCTATCTCATTCCAAAAATTCGGCGGCCATTTCCGCATGGCGGGGCTACTCAGGACACCCCCCCCCCCCCGGGGCTATTCGGGACACCCTTAAAAACGCATTTACAGTAGAACCTCAGTAAGCAAAGGCTCCAGTTAAGAAAAAAAAAATGGATTAAAAACAAAGAATATTGATTACATTTACCTTGCTCGGCAAAAAATGTTTCACTTATCGAAAAATTAGTGCATCATTGGTCGTCACTATTTACTTATATGATGTAGTGCCAAAATACTGCAGGGTAGAAAGTTCTTGTTAAGTCCAGTGGTTTGCGTGTGCAAACACTGTCACAATCCTTAGTATGTTTAGTATTTGTTAGGGACATAGCAGTCCCAGGCCACGATGGATTGCCGCCTCTGATTATCATTCATCCACCCTCATTTGGGCCACCTGATGCACAATGCTGTTGCTTGCTTTTTACCACTGGTAGTGTTGCAGGGGAGGTCGATCTAGGATTGTGCTCAGGAACACGTCTAGTTGTCTCTTGAAGGTCTCCAG